GTTACAATTCCTGCTCTACACCTACTTATCAAGACTCAAACGTACTCTTATAGTATATTATATATAATTGTTCCGGAGAATCGGTATATAGGAAACAGCGTAGCAGTGTTCCGATAGAAAACGGTAGGAACTCTATATGTCGATTCTTATATGATATGATTACTACGCTAAAGCGAAGATTTTAATTAAGGACATAAAATGTGTATTGTGAAATTCATATAAGATACAATAGACTTTATCGTGACGTTCGGTTTGATTTACATAGGTATCAAAGTTCGACCGTAGTCTTATAGAATATTATTCAATATTGCTAAATGAGTATAGCATAATAACGTTACATTCATGTAATATGTGTATCGTAAAATGTTTATAAACTTGTATACATTTATTCTTGTATTTGTAGGATTAAACATTATAAATGTTGAAAGTTATTATACATAGCAATAGATTCTTTATTGTCTTGTTCACATAAAAAATATCTACAATAGAATTATATTCATTACGATAAATCATCTTTCATTAAGAGAACTGCGTCAGATAGGCCAGATAGATTACAATAGAATTTTTCGAGAAATTTATAATATTTTACCGTTTTCTATCGGCTTTTTTAAGCAGAGATATATAATCTGTTGCACAATGCCGCAAAATAAATAAAGATCAACCAATCAAACCATATAGAGGCTGCGTTCCGAAATTCACTGCCAGTATTGAAAATCTATAGTTTATGTAATGTATACTATAGAATTTCCGCACTGGCAATGAATTTCGGAACGCAGCCTGACGCAGCCAGACTAGAGTCGGCTTTAGGGAAATGTAACCTAAAAACGTCAAAAGGCTGAAGTTATTTATTAATTTTATTAATAGATAAATTGCAATATTATATCAAAACATTCAAAATTGTCTTTAAGTACTTTTTCAGGTTTTCATTAGCAAATTTTGGTAAGTATGTTTTATAATGCTTGAATTACAATATTACAGAAAAAATACATCTGAAATATTTTCATATGTATACATTGTTGTGCATATTATATTTTGACGCAAATTATATTAAGGTAAAATGGAAGATGAATTAACACTTATTTGCACAATGCTTTCAGTTTTGCGTTCCAATCATCTTTTGTTTTTAATATACAAGTAAGAACGATTTCGTACAAGGTCGATTAGAAGTTCATCGCCGAATTTTATATTATCGCTCACTTGGTTGCCATTATTGCCATCAAATGTATTTTGTGTGTTGGACAATAATTCATCATCTGGAAAGTTATTTTTATTATAATAATTAAAATGATTCATTTTTTAGTCAAACTAGTTGACAAGTCGACTTGAAACTGAACTTGATCGTATGTGTGTCGTGAAAAGTGTTTAAAGCGATATAGCGTACGTAAACAGAATGAAAAATCCGAGCGCTGTGATTAGTAGATTATAAAGCGATAGACATAGATTTCCAACTTGTCGGAAATTTTATCGCTATTGCCTATTCTGTGTCCCAATCTGCATTGACGTATTGCCGAATGTTGGATTTCTCTGTTCTTATCGCTATTTCTATTATCTGTGTTATTTCTATCTCTATTCCTTCGCATTGTGCAAGGACTTTTATGATTTCTATCAGTGGCGTAGCCAGGGAGAGGACTGAGGGGACTGCGCCCCCCTCCCCCCGAAATTATTTTTCTGGGTTACGCTAAGTAAAAGAAAATTTTTTTCGAATAATCTTTTTTTTTGCTCGTCAAAAATAAAAAGTGCAGCCCCTCCCGAAACATTTTTCTGGCTACGCCATTGATTTCTATGATGTTCCTATGATTGGATACTCTCCTGACAAGAAACGATAGAGAACGATAGAAAATGATACTGTCTCTTTCGGATGCAATATAGTGAAACGATAGATTAAGACAGAAAACAGATATTCTGCAGATTCCGTCGGTTTACATCGCTTTTCCCTTTACAGTTTTTATTACAGAAAATTATTACGGTTTCAATTTCAGCTATTTTTGCTGTCTTATATCTTATAATTTGTCTTATATCTTATATCTTGTAATCGTGAGTGTATCAGCGGCTATCAACGCGAAGCAGAAGGTAGTGCAGCGAGATGTAGGAACGGCGATATAAACACGAGCAAAGGTGCGCTATCTTTTCTCTCGTAATGATAAGGGAATTTCTTCGCAACAGAAACCTTTACGCGCACGCATGAAGTAACGTAACAGCGTCGTATGCAACTTCCAATCACGGATACAACATAGAGTTTCTATATGGGGCGAAGTATCCCACCGTTTCATAGTATTTCGCAGTGCCCGTTCTTATAGACAAAAATCGCTATTTGAAATTTATTTCAGATATCGATCTTCAATTTTACATACCAAAAGTATATTTGGAAGACAACGTTTTCCTTCTAGTCACTAATCAAATTTGGATTAATTAAGATAGTGAGGGGGAAAGGAATATATCAATTGTGAAAAAGTGATATATTATTTACTTTTATTAATATCAATAATATATAATATTATTACATATGATTAATATTTTACACTATTTAAAATGAAAATTATAATAAAATAAATTTATATCATATAATTTATATTATATAAAATAAAAACTATATAAATAAATAGAACAAGAAAACCAGAAAATCATTAATAAGACATAGTTAACAAAACAATGTATGTTTGATGATAAAATTACATTTTAGTTTCAAAAAAGTTTTATCCATCAAATTATGCAATATTTATTTGGAGTTGTTCCAATTTGGAGTACCCGTTCCAAGCACTTGCATTCTTCTGGTTGTTCTGGTAGTTTTTCACTTTTAAATCGCTTACACTTGCGTTAAAAGCCTTTTTCTCTTTTTATTATGAATATAACAAAATGATATTAGAATTTTTTGATTACCTCAATTTATTCTACGTTCTCAAAAGCGTTAGCACGATTGTTCTAAGAAACTCTATATACACACTACATTATTCTCTTATCTAAGTTATATTGCAAGTTGATGATTCTTCCATTTTCATTTTAGTTCGCACACTGTATCAAGAATAAACTTCGTTTTTTTATATTAATCTTTCGCGCTATATATGTTAACCTAACTAGTCAGTTATATATAAAGCAACTATTTAGTCTTTAAATTTTTGTTGCGCCGATGGTTTGTAATGTTATACATAATACTATAAATTAATTATTTTAATTTGTTATTTATTTATATTTATCGTAATGATAAATATACGGCAAATTATAAATGATATATCGGTATATCACAATTCAAATACGTTTATTATGTGATTTATCATTGTGGTAGATGGAGTTGCTGAAATTTAAAAAACATATCTTCCTTTAAAAAAGACAAATTTTTATCTTTGTCGTAGAACTAATTTAAATAATTATTTTCCTGGCAACTAGTTGTAACACTTTGGAAAGTCTTGTGGTACATATTGCAAATAGGTTAGTTCTTAAAAATAAAAAATAAAGTTTAAAATTCGGAAAATATATCTCCCTTTAAAGAAGACAAATTTTTGTCTTTATTATACATATTATTAATTTTGCCTTGATTACATATATTATAGTATTCTATACAAAACGTACAAATTAAGTTAAAAGTAACAATAAATGTTTCCTACACTAATTATATTAATAAAAATATCCATTTCCTCTGTTAGTATATTATTATAATGTTATATTGTCACATCCTTTTTTCAATTCTGACTTTCAAAGAATTGACGGGCTCTAACACAACAGCTAGCTTCACTTCTATTTCTTCTATTTTAACCATCTTATCGATCTTTAATATGTATGTTCGCAAAAATGTTGCTATGAAGATTTTCATAGAAAACATTGCATACTTTATACCTGCAATTTTATCGATTATTCTCATATTTTCCTATAGTATAGTTGAGCTAAAATATATATACCTAAACAGTTCCTTGGACCGTAACTAAACGGTATATAACTATTTGGATGAATAGTTGCAATATTCTGCGGAAGAAATCTGTCTGGATCGAATATCAACGCTTTCGGCCAATACTTTTCATTGCGATGCATGTCTAATATTGTTATTAAAACTTCAGCTCCTTTCGGTAAAGTATATTCTCCTGAAACATATTATTTGTATATAAAATATCATTGTAATAAAATATAAAATTATTTAAATAAAATCATATCAAGCGCCACGGTCGCGGCGCGACGCCGAGTACGTATCGAATAAAACAACGCGAGCGTGCAAGCTTATTTGGAATTTCTAGTTCGGTTGGTCTTCCGAATCAAATATCTCAAGCACGAAAATCGAAAATCTAATGAAAGTTTCCTTATATAATGTTTAGCGCACGCGAAATTTGCACCAAGTTTGATTAAAATTAGTACAGGCAATAGTGAGATCTGGAAATCTCGTCCGCTAAAAAGACCTGTTATTTTCGCGCAGATTCTCAGATTTTTCAGATTCAGATTCACAGGTACGCACGCACACAAGCGAATGAGTACGCCCATCAAGCCGTGTTTGCATCGCCAAACGACTCAGCTTCATATCACACGTATACACACGTACACAAGCGACGCGCGTTTATCCGACAGATTGCGTTTGTAATATATATAGGTTACAATAAGCAGCATGTATCTATAATGATTGCCATCGATTCACGAATTTTCGCTAGAGGAAAAGATTTATGATTGATCATTAGGTGTACATATCAAATTGTATTTACAATTTCACGTACATTTTCTTATAGTTTTATATCAATATGCGCTTGTGACGTCTGCGATCCTTATTGCAAACGTGTAATCTGACATTGAAATTAATTGGCGAGACAGAAAATATTTCCATAGATAAAATATTATAAAAATTTCCGTATAGACTGCATCAGTCAGAATAGACGCATATTACGTGGGCAATAAACATTAAATTGATGATATATCTTTTCGTCTAGCGTAAATTCGCAAGTGAAATAAAACAATTTCATCGATAAATTCAATAAAGTTCAATGATTACTACTGCGTTCCGATATTCACTGCCAGTACTGAAGATCTATAATTTGTGTCGTGTATAGAGTTTCAATAGTGGCAGTGAATATTGGAACACAGTCTGCGTGTTCACATTAGAATCATACTTCTTTTCTGATTATAATTAATTTAGAACATCTACACTTTGATTAAGTTAACATGTATTTTTCGTTTTGTAGTTTTTGTTTTGATTTTGTTGTTCAGGGCAATAAAATAATCATAACAAACAGAACACTATTGTACAACTCATTGTACTGTTCATTGTACTCATTGTACTCATTATACTATTCATTGTACAATTCTTACATATTGCTCCACTATATAATACGTTTATAAGCAAACCTATTTGTAAATCTGCATTAAG